TGTGTGTGTGTGTTTATAAATATCTTTTCTTTCCCCATTTCAGATTTGATCAGCTTTATGCCTTGTTTCCCCTGTTATATTTTCTAGACACTAATGGAAATACTTCTGTGCCAAGATCTCAGTCTCTTCCACAAGCCTCTACATATGCACTTACTGGTGGGGTGGCAGATAATGCCTCTGGTGTTCATGTATTATCTGAAAGAGAGGCATTGCGATTAGATAAATTCAAGCAGCTTCTTGCTGGCCCAAATACAAACCTTGGTAAGTATTCATAAACATTAAACAGCACATTAGATTAAGATCTCTTAAATAGTTGTGAGAAAGGAGTAGGCGGTTTGCTCTTTCCTAAAATGCATATTGGAACTTTTTTACTGCCTTCTATTCTGTTTAATTCTTTTGGCTTAATGGAAAGATTGGTGGTCCCAAGGATTTTAACTGTAAACCTATTGTTGAGCTTTTGTTGTCAAATCATTTCATCATTACGGTAGTGGAATTGTAGTTTTAAGGATGTCTGGCTGAAGTTTCCTCTAAAATGGCTTGGGAAAGAATAAAAACAATATTACAGGGATAGGAGAAAGATTTTAACTCCATCTCCAGAGATCTCACCTCTAGGTAGGTTATACTCTTCCCAGACCTTCAAGCAATTGTTTGGCAGCCGAAAGGAATGCAATTTTTCTTGCTATATAGTAAAATGTGCCTGTTATTTAAACAGACATAAAAAAAAAATATCAGAAAGCCAGAATTTTGCAGGCATCCACTTGCTCAATTTTACTTACAAAGAGCCTCCTTCTCTTTAATATCTGTATAGGGAGATATTTAAAATTTTTTATCCATATTCAGAAACATGGATGGAAAATGAGTCTACATTTATAGGGACCTTGGTCCATTTTTCTCTGGAAATTTTCTTTAATTACCAGAGGTTCTGAAGCAGTAGATTTCATGAGCATTGATTCTGTGAGCAATTAATCATATAAATTATACTTTAGATATTTGTTAGATAAAGAATTTCCTGGGTCTCTATCATAGTCCTGGTCTAGAATTGCATCAGCTATTGAGCTGCTCTGAATATATTCCTGATTAACTATAGTTAAAAGATATGTTGGTTATGATGATGATGATGAAGAAGAACAAGAGGTAATAAAAAAAAGTATACCTTGCAGGTTTCCCCCTCCCCCCCATTCACCATGAAAGAAAGAAAACTCCATGATATTGTCTATATGTTTTGTGTTAAAGATTAAAACATTTTCACATATATACATGCATATACATATACATACTGTTTTTTAGTAAACAGGAACAGGAACGAATTTCAGCGTTGTAGATAGGTCAGTTTTAGGAAACCTTTTATCTGTTTTCTATATAAACGTGGTAGAGGGGAGGAAGTGTCATAAAAAATTATCACATAAACTCATAGGTATCTTTCTTGACATGTACAAGAAAGATACTTATCAATTGATGCATCATCCTGTATGTTATGAACTTGTTTGGTAGCGCTTGATACTGCTTTTTTTTCATAAAGAATTTGAAATACATTATGTTTTTTTTTCTTGCAATACAGAGTAATAGAATAGAAGTGTAATGTGGCAGATTAACATTTCATTATATTTTTACTTTTACATTATCTTTTTACTTTTGCTGTTCTTATTATAACATTCTTATGAAAGTACTTTTTGAACTATTTGAATTAAATAAAATATCTCATTCTGTGCATTTTTCTTTTGTGACAAGCCATTTTTTGTCTTCTCACCTTTGATCCCTCTCCAGACTAGACAGTTTGTCATTGATAACAACTAGGCATTGACATTTACTTTATTCCCAAGTTAAACACAGAATACCAATTTTTTTTACACATATTTCACTTTCAACTTTTGCAATTGCTTTGTTCTGCTACTTATCCCTGCTAAGCTCACTCTTTAACTCCTTTTCAGCATATATGTCATATTAATTAACAAATTCAGATGTTAAAGAAATTTCAAAGAGGGTTAGGACAGCATATATCATACAGCAGATAAAGATTGTGGAAAGAAGTAATATAATCTAGGAATAAGAACCTATTTAGACAGCTGAGAGAATTTGGGGAAAAAATATGAAAGAAAACTGAATTGTGGACTCTGGTAGTGATTAATGCTTCCCTATAGGACGGAATGGTGACCCAGAACTTTAAGGAGGCTATGGTCTGCCCTCTTCTTAAGAAGCCATTGCTGGACTCCACCCAGTTGGAGAATTTCCGACCTGTCTCCAATCTTCCCTTTTTGGGGAAGGTTATTGAGAAGGTGGTCACACAGTAGCTCCAGCGGTTTCTGGATGAAACGAATTATCTTGACCCCTACGAGTCAGGATTCAGGCCTGGATTTGGGACAGAAACAGCATTGGTCACACTTTTGGATGATCTCTGGTGGGAATGGGATGGGGCAGTGCATCCATCCTTGCTTTATTTGACCTCTCGACGGCTTTCAGTACCATTGACCATGGGATTCTCCTGGGGCAGCTTTGGGGGATAGGAGAGGGGGGCCTTGTGTTGTCCTGGTTCACTTCCTTTGTGGCCGCTCTCAGTCAGTGTGGATAGGAGGGGAGAGATCCAGCCCTCGCCCACTGCTTTAGGAGGTGCTGCAGGGCTCGAACTCTCTCCGCTCCTGTTCAACATTTATATGAAGGCCGCTGAGTGAGATCATCCAGCACCATGGACTGAGATATTACCAATATGCTGATGATACCCAGCTGTATATCTCAGCCCGTGGTGAATTAAGTGTTGCTGTGTCCTCCCTCTCAAGTGCCTGGAGGCTGTTAGGGGCTGGATGGGGAGCAACAGGTTGAAACTAAACCCTTGCAAGACCGAGTGGCTCTGGGTTTGGGGTTCGTTGGCTCAGGGAGAATTGCCACCTTTGGTTTCGGATGGGACGGTACTACCCCAAACCCTGTGAGTAATCTAGGGGTTTTCCTGGACTCATGACTCCTGGTCAAAGAGCAGGTGGCAGTCGTGGCCAGGTGGGCCTTTGTGCAACTGCGGGTTGTGCACCAGTTACACCCTTTCCTGAACCAACGGTCCCTACTCAGAGTCACTCATGCCCTATTCACTTCCCGTCTTGATTATTGCACTGTGCTCTACATGGGGCTGCCCTTGAAGAACATCTGGAAGCTCCAGTTGGTGCAAAATGCAGTGACCCACATGGTTTTGTGCAGACCCCGGTGTGCACATGTTTCACCTCCTGCGAGAGCTACATTGGTTGCCTGTTTGCTTCTGGGTGCAATTCAAGGTGCTGGTTGTCACCTTTAAAGCCCTTCATGGCTCGGGACCAGGTTATCCGAGGGAACGTCTCTTGCCGGTCACTTCTACCCGACCCATTAGAGCAGGGATGTGTTAATAGACCACACAGAGAGAACACAATTAGTCTGTAACCCAGTTTGCAGTGCTTTATTGAAGAAAAGAAATTAGCCTTTTTGAAAAACAATAACAAAGTCTTCCTATCCTCTCTCATAAGGAAGTCCTGGTGATATGGGCTATTTGAAAGGCCCTGTCTCCTGTGTGAGGACTGAGAAGGGTGCGTGAGAGAACTATATGTGTGTAAGGGAAGAGCAACATATATATGCACGTGTGCATGAGGGAGCAAGGGGCACAAGAAGCAAGCAAGGCAGCAAGTTACCTTGTGATTTTACATCCATATATGAAATTGTTCTGTGTTTTATTTCTTATCAGTAGAGAAGCATCCAGATGTTTCAACAAACCATGCACTCAAATGGCACGTTTAAAGTGTACCAGTATTGTACTGGGTTTTATGAGGATTACCTAATAAGGGGAGCTTGGTCCATCAGTTGAGATCAAGCTAAAGTAACATTGAGTCCTTCCTTACAGTATCTTTTTAAGTGAAAATATTTCCTATTGGTCACAGTGGAGCTTAGATAAGAATGCATAATCATAGCTCCTACTGATACTTTGTCTTTGTAAAACAATGTTAAGAATAGTCTTACAGTATTGTTTCTTACTTCAGAGGTTTGGAGAAAAGATGTATGGCTCTTTTGGTGACAAATGGCCACGATTTGGATATTATTTAATTGGTTCCCTGCCCACTTTCATAATTGCTAATCTCAAATGTCCTTTTCTGCTCTCTGAAGCCAAACACAGCTGCATAGATAGTCTAGCTCCAGCTTCGTGGTTAAGGTGCTCCTCATCACCCTCAGTGGAAGGGAAATTTGGGAGCAAATATTGAACTGTTGCTTAAAACTCTCCAAACAAGTTAACCTTGAAAAAACAGTAAGTATTTATAAATACGACCTCAATTTCCTGAATGGGAAAGATTCCATGAGGCACTAAAGCTGCCATGTTTTTATATTAATTTATATTTCAACAATTCCCATTTCTACTGCTAGCCACTCACTTTTCAAATTCTGCATTGTCATTCAATGATTAATCTGTATGGTTCTGTTTTTGTTTCTTTCACATTTCTATTTCATCTATTTTACTAGAACATTTTATACTTCAGCTAAGTTGGCCTTTTTTGGTTGAAGATTGTTTTTCAAGAATATAATGTGTTCAGCACACTCCATTTGTCTGATGCTTCTTAATTTCTCAATCATTCAGGAAAAAATAAATGCAGCATTGAACATGGATTTTTTAAAATATGTATAACAGAACTGTCCTTTTATTTTTATTTTTAAAGCGGTTAGTCTGGTTGCCCATAGTAATTTCAAGCCATTTATTAGCTCAACCTCTGTGCTGTTTAACTTCTCAGATACTGTTGGGGGAGCTGCAGTTCCATGAATCTGCATTGTTTTAGAAGAATATTCTAGTTCTTTTGGAGTTGAATTATGCTAAGATTTTTTTTTTCATAAGAATTTGAAGCTTATAAATCTAGTTTATCATGTCCATCATTTAATTGTTCATTCAAATCACGTTACGATTTACAGTGTCTCAGTGAAGTAACTGTTTTGTGTCAAAAGATAAATAATGCATGAGCAAAAATTGTGGGTTCCCTTAAAATTATACAGCCAGAAATATTACGCTTAAAGGGAAATAATAGAAGAATGCTTTTGTGTTTTGAGCAAAATATTGTGCATAGTTAGTTGCTTGGTTTCCAGCAGGCCTCCAGGCCAGCAATGACTCCTATTTGAAGCAGAGTCTTAATTTTTGATAAAGCAGAGGATCAAATCTCCATGGTAAAAGTGTAGTTTATCGGTATTTATTTCATTGTAATTGTATAGTGTTAACTGAAGTTTGCTGAATTGAAACAGTATGTAATGAGTGTATCCAGTTCAGGCTGGAGAAA